CTTTCATGTTGTTGTCCACGTGTCCTTTGATACTAGATTTTCCGTTGCGCTGCTTCCCAGCCTATGATGATGATGATACGAATGTGTTGTTATTGATTTCCCGTTGTTTCACTTTTTGCGTCGCGCACATTGACACCTTGTGAATGTTGCACCTATGTTGCTGGTTGTTGCCACTTTCGTCATTGCTAGATCCTAGGCTTTCAGTGCATTTCACTTTCTGATATGCTACAGCAGATGTAAAGAGGAGGACATCGGCAATGGCGAAGATATGGAAGAAGAAAAAATAGAGGAAGGGCAGGACAGTGATGACACAAATGACGTCCACGAAGCAAAAGGAGATGATAATTGTAATGAATATGAAGACACAAGTGCCGACGAAGACCGTCTGAAAAACAACGACAAAAAACATTATCGAGCAATAGGTATAAATTCGCATTACCGCATTCTTTGTTAGAATTCTGTCATATTAGGATTTGTAGTTTGAATGGGTTGAGTTGTATGTCGTTTCAGTCAATAATTGATGCATGTGTAAGGTATGTATAAATCGTACTTTCCGCATTGTCAATGCAACTCACATGTGTATTATACGGTGCTTGAACTTCCTGATGTGCACAGTGACACGGGGACGAGAGAGGGGATCAGAGAAAAAAAAGGACGTCGACAAGAAGCGTCTGTCGAAAGAATTGCAGACATTGCAAGCGGATTCAAGAGTCTTGAAGCAAATGTTGTGCTGCCTTGCCAAGGCCTTTTGTTGGCATAGTGTCGAATCTATTTTTTTGTGTGTCAGTGTATGCATCTGAATTGTTTTTTGTCTTTGAGTTTACGAGTGATGTAATGATCTTTAAGTGGTATTAGCACAGTAGCATGTTACTTAGACACGAATAATGTTGAACTTTCACTCATGATGCATGACCTGATGTCGAACTTATAGTCCACAACCCAGAAATGCTTGGGCTTGGTACTGCAGAAGTCCTTTTGTATATCATATTGTGCATATGCGAAGGATAACAGTCGTCTGGTCTCTTACCTAGTTGGAATACATGCCAGTACTATGGGTCCAACAGTTCAGGGTACCAAAGTGAATCAGTTTTGTCTTTTTGTTTTGTTTCTCAAATGGTCGAGTATTTCTTGTCTTAGAGGTGTGCCAAAATCTTGTATCTCTTTTGATTTAGCAAGTGCCTCATTTCAGGAGGTGATAATTTGAAGGTTATTTATGGGGTTTCACTTGCAGAAGTACTGAGGTAGTGATGCAACGGTGGGTCTTGATTTTGCTTGCAGTTTTTTTTTTTTTTTTTAAATCATTGGTGTTGTCATAGTTAGAGTTCGTCATCCGAGTCCATGCCATTTAGGACATGCATATAGGTGGTCTAGATAGTATGGTTGGTAGCTTAGGCCTGCATAGCACCGTGAACCCGAACGCAAAATACCGAACCCGAACACGGGCCAAAAAGTACCGAACCCAAACGCAAAATTTTATTTTTTATATATATATTTTATATATATATAGGGGTTTGG